CCTGTCCAGTCGCAGTCACAGTTACAGCCCGCCTCCCCCCTACCTGCTCCTTCTCCCTACACTGGTCCTACTGGAGGTCTTGCTGAGCGTCGTGAGCCTGCGTCTCATCCTGCGTCGCCTGTTCGTGCTGCTCGCACTAGTGGTCGTACTGCGCGTCCCAGGCACACACCAGATGGCACTGCGTCCTTCCTCTGCTCCTCTGCGTGTCCCGTTGCCGTCTCCTCCAGAGTCCTCTCTTCCTACTCTTGCTGCCCCGGAGTCTGACTCTCTTCGTGCTGCCAGTCCTTCTGTCACGCGTCTCCTGGCTACTGTTGTCACTGACCCTTCCTTTGAGTCCACTGCTGCGTCTGCCTTGGTTGTTGAGCTTGTCAACTTTTCTGCTCGCTGTCGTCTGGACTACGCTGCTAGTCTTGTTGCTGAGTCTGATTCTGTCTGTCCTCCGTCCGTCGGGGGTGAGTGTGCTCTTAGCACGGACGTCCTTGAGGACAGGCAGGAGGAGTTCCAGTGTTTTGCTGCTTCTTTGCCTCATCTCGTGTCCACGCTGATTGCCCCTGAGGGAGACCCGGATGCACCAGACATCCCGACTCCTCGATCGTATGTTGAGGCGATCGAGGGTACCTACTCCTCTCAGTGGCAGTCAGCCATGGACGCAGAGATGGCTTCCTGGAAGTCCACAGGCACCTACGTCGACGAGGTTCCCCCACCTGGGGCGAACATCGTCACTGGCATGTGGATTTTCAGGGTGAAGCGGCCGCCGGGTTCTCCGCCAATCTTCAAGGCGCGTTACGTGGCTCAAGGCTTCAGTCTGCAGCGGGGAGTTGACTACTTTCATACCTTCTCTCCCACCCCGAAGATGACTACTCTTCGGGTGCTGCTGCACATAGCCGCTCAGCGCGACTACGAGCTTCACTCTCTTGACTTCAGCACAGCCTTTCTACAGGGCAGCCTGCACGAGGAGATCTGGCTGCGCCGCCCACCTGGCTTCACTGGGTCGTTTCCTCCTGGTACCCAGTGGAGCCTCCGGCGGCCAGTCTATGGTCTCCGCCAGGCGCCCCGTGAGTGGCACGACACACTACACTTGCGGCTCTTGGGTTTGCTCCTTCTACTGCCGACCCGTCGCTGTTTCTGCGCACCGACACCTCTTTGCCGCCGTTCTACATCCTCGTGTACGTCGACGACTTGGTCTTTGCCACTGCTGACACTGCTGGACTCGCCCACGTGAAGTCCGAGCTGCAGAAGAGACACACGTGCACAGACCTGGGTGAACTGCGCAGCTACCTTGGCTTGCAGATCACCCGGGACAGAGCACAGCGCACCATTACCCTGACTCAGTCACACATGGTGCAGCAGGTCCTTCAGAGCTTCGACTTCACGTACTCCTTGCCTCAGGCCACTCCTTTGTCTACTCGCCACTCGCTCTCAGCTCTGCCTTGTGAGGGAACATCCCTCAAAGAAGGGAGTGCGAGGGTCGCCACGAGAGGCACCTACAGCTACAATGCTCTTCTGAGCTGCAAGGAGTTCCTTCTCGAGGAGGTCGACAGTGAGGTCTGTGGGGGAGAGAGCAAGAAAGTGGTCCCTGACAGCGCGAAGAGAGTCAGGGTGGCGAGTGACTAGGTGGTAGAGGGTGAGGTACATCGGGGGGGGGGGGGGGGGGGGGGGGGGTTCTTGGCTAGGAAATCGGGGGAGAGCGCGGCACAGTAGCGGAGATCACTAGTACGGAGGTGAGTGATGAGGTCAGCTACAGTGGCAAAGGCAGACAGATTCGAGAAGAGATAGGGCAGTGAGAGACGGCCTATCGCAGCAGTGGCAGGGGAGGAGTAGCGTGCAACTACAGCATCGTACAGCTCCTTAGCGGCCTTATGCTGGCCGAAGTGCTCGCGCTCATCTAACGGCAGGTGACTGCGAACGGCTAGGCGAGCATGGGCGTCACGAGTCTGCCACAGTGAGCGAGCAGTACTGTCAGCAGTAGCAGCAGTAGCAGTAGCAGCAGTAGCAGTAGCAGCAGTAGCAGTAGCAGTAGTAGCAGTAGGGATAGCAGTAGCAGGAGTAGCAGTAGTTGTTGTACGTGGGGCGGCGCGGCTCAGTCAGGGCGGCGCGGTTCGGGAGGCGCGACTCGGGCGGCGCGGCTCGGGTAGGGCGGCGCGGCGCGGCTCGGACTAGGCTACGCGGCACGGCGCGACGGAGGGCCTGCGCGTGGGCGGCTCTAGCAGGCGGTCCGTGGCTGTGCGTGGGCTGCAGTCGCGCGTGGGCGGCGGCTGACGTGGGCGACGCGACGGCCTACGGGCGGGGCTGCGTGCCGCTAGCGAGCTACGCGCGGCCAGTGGGGCCGGTCGACGGGCGGCTAGTGGGCTGCTCGTGGCGGCGTGGGCGGCTAGCGGTCAGCGCGCGCGCAGAAACGGCCGCGCGCGGGCTGCCAGCGGGCGACGCGCGCTGAAAAAAAAAAGGCCGCTCGCGGCACTAGCGAGCTGCGCACGGGCAGCAGGAGAAGGACAGGCGCACGAGGGCGCACTAGGAGAGAGGCGCTCGAGGGCGCTAAGTTGATACGGCGCTTGAGGGCGCTTCTAACGGTGGGCCCTTATGTAAGTCCTAGGTCTAGGACCTAAGCTCTTAATACCATGTCAGAAACAAGAAGTGTTGAACTAGAAAAATTTTGGAGTACAAGTAGGAAACCCTAGAGAAGTGTACCCCCTTAAGGCTAACCCACTGTAGCCTACACAACAGAAACATGTATAATGTTTGACAGAATCGACTACGACTAACCCGCCTTTCTTTTTCGCGAGCTCTTCATCACCTGACACGTAGGACACAAGCCAACGTGGTGCTGTACGTCGGACAACAAACTTCGGCCAGTAGTACTACTGCCGCAATTGCTATCGTGTTTTTTCTACCCCGAAGTGACCCGAGTTAACCCCGTCGTGTGCCTCCTACAGCAGCAGTTCCTTCAGTAGTGAGTACCCAGGTACCCAAATGCAGTTGGTGCCTATTTTTACGTAATTGACTCATTTTACTTCTACAAGTTGCTGTGAATTTCCTGCCGTGAAAAATGTGTCGGTGCGGTATCTGTGGGTGAATAGGTTTGGGCGAGTAGGATGGCATGCAGTTGGGCGATGGGGCGGGTTAGTGCGTCGGCGATATTCGATGCCTCTTTTTTGCTTGTGACTATGTTGTGGAAGTTGGACTCCAAGTAGTCCAACCAACGGATCTGTCGCGAATTGAGATTCGGTTGGGCACGGAGGTACTGTAGTAACCTGTGATCTGTCCGTACTGTCACGTCTTTTCCGGTGAGGTAGCATCGCGACACCTTGAACGCGTGCATGATTGCCAGCATCTTGCGGTCGTGTATCGCGTACTTGCGCTCGGGCGGGTGAAGCTTGAGGGACTCGTACATGATTGGGGCGGTCAGCTTTGCCATGTTAGGGACGAACCGACGCACGTGGTTGACAAACCCCAAAAAACTCTACAACTCGGTCAAGTTGGTCGGCGCGTGCCATGCCTGAATCATCGCAAACTTTTTCGGGTCTATTTCCACTCCGTCGACTGAAATAGTGTCTCCCAAAAACTTGAATAGGTATTTTCACTCATTTAAAAACTGCTTCGTGTCAGAATTATGTTTATTATAACTGCATGTAGTTCTAGCTGTAGTGTAGTTATTAAATTTGTAGGTGGTGCACCTCTTCATTTGTTTCCTTTGCTATATGTACTTCGAAATCTATAGTGAAACCACATTCTTCCCAACTTCTCTTCCAACTCACTCGAACCTCACCCTAGGCAAAACCCGCTCTCACTCCTAATCTCAGGGCCTAGGCTCCTAAGCCTAGGCCCTAGTTTCAACTTAACTCAATCCTCGTTCAACTATTTTCGACACTTCGATGTCCTGTAGGTTCTATGCTGTGTCTCGGTTGTAATTCAGTATGTCAAATTATAATGTTGTGTAGGCTGTAGTGGGGTAGCCTTTATGGGGTACACAATGCTAGGGTTCCATATTTGTATCACTTTCATTCCTTAGTCATCTCATTCTCGTTTCAGTTTTCTCATGGTATCGAGCAGGTTCCCTCGTGTGAACTGTGCCTAGGGCCCACCAAGTCGAAATTTTTTTTTTCCTGCCCGGAGCGCGCTCTGCCCGAGACGCGCTCCATTCTCTGGCTTCGTCGAGCCGCCCTAGCGGCCAAGTCGCGCCGCCTTAACGGCCCCTGATCCGTTGCCCTAGCGGCCCCGTCTCCCTACCTGCGCCTCGGCCCCGTCGCCCTACCTGCGCCCTGGCCCCGTCGCCCTACCTGCGCCCCGGCCCCGTCGCCCTACCTGCGACCCCGGCCCCGTCGCCCCCCCCTCTTGCGACCCTGGCCCCGTCGCCATACCTGCGGCCCCGGCCCTAGCCCCGTCGCCCTACCTGCGCCCCGGCCCCGTCGCCCCGCTTGCGACCTCGGCCCCGTCGCCCCACCTCCGACCCCGGCCCCGTCGCCCTACCTGCGCCCCGGCCCCGGCCCCGTCGCCCTACCTGCGCACCGGCCCCGTCGCCCTACCGTCGACCCGGCCCCGTCGCCCTACCTACGGCCCGGCCCCGGCCCCGTCGCCCTACCTACGGCCCGGCCCCGTCGCCCTACCGTCGACCCGGCCCCGTCGCCCTACCTGCGCCCCGGCCCCGTCGCCCTACATGCGCACCGGCCCCGTCGCCCTACCTTCGACCCGGCCCCGTCGCCCTACCTACTGCCCCGCCTGAACCGCCTACGCAGCCGAGCCGCCCGAGCCGCCCGAGCCGCCCGAGCCGCCCGAGCCACCCGAGCCGCCCGAGCCGCCCGAGCCGCCCCAGCCGCCCCAGCCGCCCGAGCCGCCCGAGCCGCCCGAGCCGCCTGAGCAGCTGAGGAGCCGAGCCGCGGGTGCCGCCGAGCCGCAGTTGCTGCCGAGCCGCCCGAGCTGCCCGAACCGCCCTGTCTGGTGAGCGCAGCGCCTCTGTCACTGCACTGCCCCTGCTCTACAGTTAGCGCTGCTAGTCTACTGTTGTCATGGCTACCCCTAGTGTCCTCGCTATTGACGCCGAGGGTCGAGCCATTGACTTTGACGTCTGGGTAGATGACCTGCAGCTGTTCTTACAGTGCGATAGGGCAGACAGTCTCTCCCTCTTTGACCTCACCTCTGGTGCCTCTCCTGCTCCTGCTGCTGATGCTGACGCCACTGTTCGCTCACAGTGGGCCACGCGCGATGCTGCTGCACATCTTGCTGTGCGTCGCCACCTCCCTACCTCTGAGCGTGCGCACTTTAGTCAGTACAAGAGTGCTCAGACCTTGTACGACGCTGTAGTTGCACGCTACTCCTCCCCTGCCACTACTGCACTGAGCCGTCTCATGCTACTGTACCTCTTCCCTGACCTTGCTGCCTTTCCCACAGTTGCTGACCTCATTACGCACCTCTGCACTAGTGACACTCGCTACCGCGCTGCGCTTCCTGCTGACTTCTGCGCCAAGAACCCCCCCCCCCCCCATGTACATCACTCTCTACTACATAGTCACTCGCCTCCCTAACTCCCATCGCGTAGTCAGGGACCACTTCCTCTCAGTCTGTCCCACCACTCTCACTGTTGACCTCCTCGAGAAGTCCCTCCTAGCGGCCAAGAAGAGCATAGTCGCTGTAGGGGCCTCTCGTGGTGACCCGCGCACCCCCATCTTTGAGGGGTGTTCCCCCTCCCCCCTTCTGCCCTCTGTTGCCTCTGCTGCTGCGGCCGACCTCCTTGGTCTTGAGTCGGTCGGTGCGGCGTCTGCCTCTAGCGGGAGACGCCGCTCTGGCAGGGGCAAGGGGGGCAGGGGCGCTGGAGGAGCGAGCGGGGGCGGTGGAGGTGGAGGTGGAGGCGGCGGGGGGAGTGGGGGTGGCGGTGGGAGTGGAGGTGGGGGTGGAGGTGTCGGTGGCGGCAGTGGAGGCGGAGGCGGCGGCGGCGGTGGCGATGGGAGCGGAGGTGGCGGAGGTGGTGGCGGTGGAGGAGGCGGTGGAGGCGGCGGTAGTAGCGGAGGCGGCGGTAGTAGATGAGGCGGCGGAGGCGGCGGAGGCGGCGGGGGTGGCGGTGCAGCTGGTCGCGGGTCTACGCAGAGGAGTGGCTCCGGTGGTGGTCCGCGCTAGCAGCAGCAGCACGGTCGAGCTACCTTGTCCCCTCAGCAGCTCCGTGAGTGGTACACTGCACGCCAGTGGGGTGGGGGCTTTGGTCCGTGCACCTACGTCCTGCGCACCGGCGACCGTGCGGGTGAGCAGTGTGGGGGTACGCACCCCACCCAGCGCTGCTTTGGCCGCCTAACGGACGCGTGGCGTCACCAGTTCCCTGAGGCCACAGAGATCCCTCGCTGGGGCGAGCTGTCTAGGGCGGGAGTTGCCATCTATGATCTTAATTTTGATGCTATCCTTTCTGCCATGTATGCTGTGTCTATTAGTGATGAGGGTGACTGTTACCGGTGTTTCCCGCCCGACCCGGGCATTGAGACTGCTGCTCTAGGTACTGGTGAGGCTGCTGCTCTAGGTGCCAGTGAGGCTGCTGCTCTAGGTGCCAGTGCGTCTGCGTCCTCACGTGCTGGTGAGTCTGCGCTCGCAGGTACCGCGTCGGCTTCGGTCTCCCTCACCTTCACACTTGACTCAGGGGCTTCTCGCTCCTTCTTTCGAGACCGCACCACACTCACGCCGCTTGGTCGGCCGGTTGCAGTCTCCCTGGCAGACCCCTCTGGGGGTCCTGTCCTTTCTCACTTCTCCACTGACCTCCCGTGTCCAGCGGCCCCCTCTAGCACCTTGTCTGGTCTATACCTCCCCTCATTCTCTTCGAACTTGGTGAGTGGTGCTGACCTACAGGATGCGGGGGTTCACCAGTTTACTCCTGCGAGTCAGCGGGTGACCCACTGCTCGGACGCTCGCACAGGCCGGCACCTGGCCACGTTTACGCGTCGCCCGGGGTCGAGCCTATACACCCTGACCACTGAGTCTCCTCCTGTCCCTGCGTCTGGTCAGGTAGCTGCGTCGGGTCAGGTGTTTGCTGCAGCGTTCAGGTCTGGTCCTGAGTCTGCCCCCTGCTCGTGTCGCCTCCTGTCTCACGAGACTCTCCTCTGGCACCACCGCCTTGGTCACCCCTCCCTGCCTCGTCTCCGTGGCATGGCCTCTTGTGTCCTTGTCTCTGGCCTTCCCCGGTTCCTCCCTCCCCTTCCTCCGGGGCCTGGCCCCACCTGCGTCCCCTGTGTCGAGGGGCGGCTGCGGGCTGCCCCTCACTCCTCTCAGTTTCCCCCGACAGAGGCCCCTCTGCAGACGCTTCACATGGACGTGTGGGGCCCGGCCCGCGTCCGTGGACAGGGTCACGAGCGCTACTTCCTGCTAGTGGTTGACGACTACTCGCGTTACACCATTGTCTTCCCCTTGCGCAGCAAGAGTGATGTCACTGCGGTGTTGATCGACTGGATCCGCGCAGCTCGTCTCCAGCTCAGGAGGAGCTTCGGCTCGGACTTTCCTGTTCTGCGTCTGCACTCTGACCGAGGCGGAGAGTTCTCCTCTGGCCTTTTGCGAGCCTACTGTCGTGCGCGAGGCATCCGCCAGACCTTTATGCTTCCGGACTCTCCACAGCAAAATGGGATTGCTGAGCGCCGCATTGGCATGGTCATGGACGTCGCCCGAACGTCCATGATGCATGCGGCTGCCCCCCATTTTCTGTGGCCGTTTGCGGTTCGGTACGCGGCGCATCAGATCAACCTTCACCCCAGGGTCTCCATGCCGGAGACCTCCCCAGCTTTGCTGTGGACGGGGAAGGTAGGCGATGCGTCTGCGTTCCGTGTCTGGGGATCTCGGGCGTTTGTCCGCGACTTGTCTGCGGACAAGCTGTCCCCTCGTGCTGCTCCTTGCGTCTTCCTTGGCTTCCCCCCTGACGCGCCAGGGTGGCAGTTCTACCACCCCACCTCTCGTCGTGTTCTGTCCTCCCAGGACGTCACGTTTGACGAGTCGGTCCCTTACTACCGCCTCTTCCCCTACCGCACTCCGTCCCATCCCCCACCACCGCTCTTCCTTGTGCCAAGTCCCCCCCCGGTAGACCCCCTCCCCCCTCAGGGTCCTGCCCCTTCAGGTGTGTCCCAGGTAGATGCAGTCGAGCCTGTCGAGGTTACTAGTGACTCTGGTGCTGCTGAGGGTGCTGAGCGTGTGGGTGCTACGCCTGGGGGTGCTGAGCCTGAGGGTGCTACTACTGGGGGTGCTGAGTCTGGGGGTGCTGAGCCTGGGGATGCTACGCCTGGGGTTGCTGAGCCTGGGGGTGCTGAGCCTGGGGGTGCTACGCCTGGAGGTACTGAGCCTGGGGGTGCGGAGCGTGAGGGAGCTGGGCCTGCTGGTGCCGTGTCTGGCGGTTCTCCGGGTGCTTCGTCTTGCCGGGAGCCACTCTCTCCACAGTTGCTGCGTGAGTGGTTTGCCCGGCGCTGGAGGCTAGCTGCTGGAGCTGGAGGTGCTGCGGGTACAGGAGGTTCTGATGCTGCTCAGGGAGCTGGTGCCACGGGTCCCGGAGGTGCTTGACTGGGAGTACTGGAGCTGCTGGGCCTGCGGGTACTTCTGGAGCTGGAGCTGCTGCGGGTGTTGGCGCGGAGGCTACTGCTGTCGGTCCTGGAGGCGGTCCTGCTGGGGGTACTACTGGTGCTGCTGGAGGTACTGGAGCTGGAGCTACTACTGGTGCTGGTTCTTCCACTGGGGGTGCTGGTGCTGTCCCTGCTGTGTCTGGAGTCGCCGCGCGTCCTCGGCCGTACTTCGCTCCGCTCCTTCAGCAGGTTCTTGGTCTCCCGTCTTCTACTGGTCCTCCTCCTCCCTTAGAGAGTCCACAGCCTGTCCCGTCGCAGTTACAGTTACAGCCGGCCTCCCCACTGCCTGCTCCGTCTCCCTACACTGGTCCTACTGGAGGTCTTGCTGAGCGTCGTGAGCCTGCGTCTCGCCCTGCGTCGCCTGTCCGTGCTGCTCGCACTAGTGGTCGCAGTTCGCGTCAGCGTCCTCCTCCTGTCCCTGGCACGCACCGGATGTCTTTGCGTCCGTCCACTGCTCCTCTGCGTGCCCCTTTGCCTTCTCCTCTTGAGTCTTCTCTTCCTGCTCTTGCCGACCCGGAGTCGGACTCTCTTCGTGCTGCCAGTCCTACTATCACACGTCTCCTTGCTACTGTCGTCACTGACCCTTCTTTTGAGTCCAGTGCTGCGTCTGCCCTAGTTGCTGAGCTCGTCGACTTTGCTGCTCGCTATCGTCTAGACTACGCTGCTAGTCTTGTCGCTGAGTCTGAGTCTGTCTGTCCTCCGTCCGTCGGGGGTGAGTGTGCCCTTGGCACGGACGTCCTTGAGGACAGGCAGGAGGAGTTCTAGTGTCTAGCTGCTGCTTCACCTCATCTCGTGTCCGTACTGCTTACCCCTGAGGGAGACCCGGATGCACTTGACATCCCGACTCCGCGCTCTTATGCGGAGGCCGTAGAGGGTCCCTACTCCTTTCAGTGGCAGGCAGCTATGGATGCAGAGATGGCTTCCTGGAAGTCCACAAGCACCTACGTTGACGCGGTTCCCCCACCTGGGGCGAACATCGTCAGTGGCTTGTGGATCTTCAGGGTGAAGCGGCCGCCAGGTTCTCCACCTGTCTTCAAGGCGCGGTACGTGGCTCGTGGCTTCAGTCAGCGGCAGGGAGTTGACTACTTTCAGACCTTCTCTCCCACCCCGAAGATGACCACTCTTCGGGTGCTGCTGCACATAGCCGCTCAGCGCGACTACGAGCTTCACTCTCTTGACTTCAGCACTGCTTTCTTGCAGGGTAGCCTGCACGAGGAGATCTGGCTGCGCCGCCCACCTGGCTTCACTGGGACTTTTCTTCCTGGCACCCAGTGGAGCCTCCGGCGGCCAGTCTACGGTCTTCGCCAGGCACCGCGTGAGTGGCACGACACACTGAGGACTACGCTTGCGGCTCTTGGGTTTGCTCCCTCTACTGCCGACCCGTCGCTGTTTCTACGCACCGACACCTCTTTGCCGCCGTTCTACATCCTCGTGTACGTGGACGACTTGGTCTTTGCCACTGCTGACACTGCTGGACTCGCCCACGTGAAGTCCGAGCTGCAGAAGAGACACACGTGCACAGACCTGGGTGAACTGCGCAGCTACCTTGGCTTGCAGATCACCCGGGACAGAGCACAGCGCACCATTACCCTGACTCAGTCACACATGGTGCAGCAGGTCCTTCAGCGCTTCGACTTCACGTACTCCTCGCCTCAGGCCACTCCTCTGTGTACTCGCCACTCGCTCTCAGCTCTGCCTTCGGATGAGTCCGTAGAGTCGAGTGGCCCGTACCCAGAGCTTGTTGGCTGCCTCATGTACCTGATGACTTGCACACGACCTGACCTTGCATACCCTCTTAGCATTCTTGCACGCTATGTTGCTCCTGGGAGACACAGACCGGAGCACATGGCTGCAGCGAAGAGGGTGTTGCGCTACTTGTGCAGTACGTCGGGCATGGGGCTAGTGCTTGGAGGGCAGAGTCCAGTGGTCCTCACTGGGCACGCAGACTTTTCTTGGGCTGACGACCAGGCTACACAACGGTCGTCACAGGGTTACACCTTCAGCCTTGGTTCCGGCTCTGTTTCGTGGCGGGCTACTCGCTCGTCTTCCGTTCTCGGCTCCAGTTGTGAGGCTGAGATCTACGCAGGAGCCATGGCTGCACAGGAGCTTCGCTGGCTCACCTACCTGCTGACTGACCTCGGAGAGCCGCCTCGTTCTCCTCCAGTACTGTACGTAGACAACAAGGCCATGCTGGCCTTGTGTCGGGAGCAGCGCCTGGAGCACAGAACGAAGCACATTGCTCTCCGCTACTTTCTTGCTCGTGAGCTGCAGCAGCGTGGTCAGATGCGACTTGCGTACGTGGCCTCTGAGGCCAACACTGCTGATATCTTCACTAAGGCACTTACGCCTTGTGATCATCAGTGCTTCTGTACTCAGCTTGGTCTTGTGCCTGCCTTGCCTCACTTGCTCACTTCTTGACCTTGCTTGTACTGTCACAAATATATACTCCTGCTCTTGCTTGTTTAGCCTTTTATATATATATGTGCTCCTGCATGTGAACTGGCCTTTTGGCCTTGAACTTGTGCTCGGAATGTGTGGTGACTTTGTGATCCACCCTGAGCTTGCTTTGCTTTGCTTGACTGGCCTTGTGACCCCTTGTTCTCCCCCACTTTGCCTATGGGGGTGTGTCAAATTATAATGTTGTGTAGGCTGTAGTGGGGTAGCCATTATGGGGCACACAATGCTAGGGTTCCATATTTGTATCACTTTCATTCCTTAGTCATCTCATTCTCGTTTCAGTTTTCTCACAGTATGTCGTCTAAGTACATGATGACACACTTATCTAAAAGTCGGCGGAAGGCTTCGTTCATGGTCATTTGGAAACTGGCGGGGGCGTTGGTCAGTCAGAAGAGCATAACCGTGTATTCAAACAATCCGTAGCGTGTTCAGAAAGCTGTTTTCGGGCAGTCGGGTGGGTTGACGCGGATCTGGTGGTAGCCTCCTCGAAGGTCAATTTTCGAGAAAGCCCAGGCTATGCGCAGTTGGCCGATCAATTTGTCGACATATGGAGGGTACCGGGGTAGATAGCTCCATACTGCTTAGTGGGAAGATAGGGACATGGGTGGTGCATCTGACCTGATTCCAGAGCTCTTCGAGACTAGCTACTTCAAGAGGATTTCCTTGGTGCACCAGCGTGAGCAGGCTCGAACCATCTGCCGTCGGACACAAATTCGTTACAGTGTTGACACACCCTCCGCCCCACCAGATCCCACCCCACCCTCCTTGGCTGACTTTGCGTACCTTGGTGTTGGTTCTTGAGACCTCATTGGGGGTCTCAACCTAGGATTGCAGTTGGGCCATTGCTAGTTAGGTAGCCTCCTGATGCTCAAATTCGTCTGTATCTTTTGTACACATATACATTGTAAATAAAGCGGGAAGATAGGGACAGACTTGGTAAATATAGAGCCTGCTTAGTGACCAAGTCTGTCCCTATCTTCCCACTAAGCAGTATGGGGCTATCTACCCCGGTACCCTCCATATTCGCCTGGGTGTGGTTGATTGCGTGAATCGGCACAATCACTCGGTGAGAGTCGGTTGGGTCGGGTGAGAAGCATAACTTGTGAATAAATACCCGTCTGCTACTGACTCCTAGGGGTGTTTTGGCCTGTTGCACGCGAAGCAGCGCCCTTTGAACGATGCGCCAGTGGCATTTATGGCGACAGCGCGTATCGTGGCATGCTTGTTCGTCCCGGGAGGTCGATGTCCCCAGCTGCGGTTGTTGCCGTAGGACCCCGATCTTGGTCGGCGAAGAAAATCAAGTTTTTCCGCCATGGCGAGGATTTCGTTGAATTCGGTGACATTGCGCAGCTGGATCTCCTGAGTGATTTCATGTTTCAGACAGCCAATGTAGCGGTCGATACGCTCTCCCTCATGAATATGTCCCACCTGCTTGCACAATGCCAGAAATTCACTGGTGTAGTCCTGGACGGAACCGAGCTGACGCCAAGTGTGGCCTCTGACGCGCCGCGATAAAAGCCGCAATCAGTTCGAATCTCGCGCGCAGACATGCGCACCACGCATCCCACTTGCGATACTGGGGCACTTCCACGAAATATGACGGTGCCCAGGGTCCGGTTTGTCCTTCCCGTGTCAGTAGAGTCTGGTAGTCTGTCGGCTTCGTGACGATGACGCGCCACCAATCCATGGTGGGTCCTTGCAGCAGCGACACGGCGTAGCGAATCTCCGCCGAATCCTCCGATACGTAGTTCGCGTCGAAAAACGCGTTCCTGGTGAATAACCACGCCTGAACGGTAGGACCACCCCGTTAATTTGAGTCAAAGCAAGGCTGACACTGTCGCTTCAGCGGCATCGGCGACGGCAGTGCTGACTCGCCGGTTGGCACCGAAATCGTGACGCGAGGTTGGCTTCTGGCCGGATTCGTCCCTCCAGGGTGTGTCGTGCCGTGGTCGTCGTCTTTGTCGTTGTGGGCGACGCCATCACTAGCCGCGCTAGAGGGTTGCCCCACGCTTCCATGTTGTGATGCCTGTCGTGCGGGCTGTCCGTGCGAGCCTTGTGTCGAGGATTGTACTTATTGTGCTCGTGCGGCGTCGTTCTGCAGAGACGTTCGTTCTGCCGTCAGCGCCGCGATCTCTTCGGAGCTTTCGTGCAGTTGCTGCAGCAGTTGGTTCAAATGCTCCTGCGTGAGATTCGTTACGTCGATATGCTCGGCCATTCCGAAGGGCGTCGGTGTCAGAATGTGATATTTGTCTAGCCTGCAGTGGGACACTCTATAGCGAGTATAGCCCAAATTAGGGTTTCCTATATGTACTCAACTGCCTGCTAGTGCAACCCTCTCTTTCCTGTTCTAAACTTCTGCTTGCTATTCTGACATGCTATCAGAGCGAGATCGCTCCTGGCCTGTGGGCCCACCTGCTTCCGCTGCTGTCCTACCTGTCGCGCGCCTCGGGCACGCGACGTCTTCTGCCTGCCGCGCACCCTGCGCGCGTGGCGTTTTTTTCTTCCCGCCGCACGCCCTGAGCGCGCGGCGGTTTTTTGCCCGCCACGCGCTCGGGGCGCATGGCAGTTTCCTGCCCGCTGTGCGTCCCGGGAGCGCACGGCGGTTTTGTCGCCCGTTGTGGCGCCCCGGGGGCCCGCGCGTTGTCCCCTCCCGTCGCCCGTCGTGGCGCCCCGGGGGCCCGCGCGTCGCCCCCTCCCGTCGCCCGTCGTGGCGCCCCGAGGGCCCGCGCGTCGCCCCCCTCCCGTCGCCCGTCGAGGCGCCCCGGGGGCCTGCTTGTCGCCCCCTCCCGTCGCCCGTCGTGGCGCCCCGGGGGCCCGCGCGTCGCCCCCTACCGTCTCCCGTCGAGGCGCCCCAGGGACCAGCGCGCCGCCCCGCTTCCGCTCGCCCGCTGCCCCAGCTGCTGCCCGCGTATCTGCCCCGCGCCGCGCTCACGCCGCCTGCGTTGACGGTATGGGGGTGGCGGGTGTGTGAGCCGTCCCTTGCTCCTCCTCCTCCTCTCTCTCCCACTCCTGCAGCTGCCGCTGAGGGGGGTGGGTGTGTGGGAGCCGAGGGAGTCGCGCTAGGGGGGGGACACGGGATTGGAGCTAGGGGTGCAGCAGGGGGTGTGTGAAAAGGGGGTGGGACAGTTGGGGGAGGTTGAGCGGAGGCAGTCGTCGTGTCGTCAGCAGCGCTAGTAGTCCGGAGCTTTGCTCCGGTAGTCCAGCGAGCCTGCTGTGCTAGTCGCCCGTGGGTCCGTTGCTCCTGCCGCTCGTCTTAGCCGCAGAGCCAATCACTCCAGTAGTCCGAGGTGCTGCTCCGATAGCCGCTGTGCCAGCCGCTTCTGTTGCCCGTGTGTCTGCACCTTCAGCCGTCGCCTCCTATCTCCTCTCCTCTCACAGTCTCGCCACCTCCTCCACACTTGCCCTTTGTGAATGCCTCTAACTTTGCTTGTACTTGTGAACCTGCTCTATGACTGCTTGCTGTGCTGATTATACCCCACTTTGACTATGGGGGTGTGTCAGAATGTGATATTTGTCTAGCCAGCACTGGAGTACTCTATAGCGAGTATAGCCCAAACTAGGGTTTCCTATATGTACTTGACTGCCTACTAGTGCAACCCTCTCTTTCCTGTTCTAAACTTCTGCTTGCTATTCTAACAGTCGGCTCAGCTGAGTCCTAGGCGCAGTCGTGGCTGTACGCGTTTACGAGAGAACGCGATGACAGTGGCTCCTACGTACTAAGGGGCATGAGTCTCTTCGAGCAAAGATCAAAAGTTGATTTTCTGTGGTGCGGAGATGCGCGGTCCGAAAGAAAGTGGCTCTGATACCTGAGAAAATTAGAACGAGAATGGAATGACTATGGAATGAAATGTTAGAGATTAAGGATCGAGTCTGTGAAGATTAGGAGCCTAAATTTCTCAAAATCGTTGGCTTGAAATTCTGGACAGAATCGTCGAGTTCACAAGAAACGTCGTCGGCTAAAATTGCACCGTTGGAATTGTCTCAAACTCGAGTATGTTGTAGCCTGTAACCAGGGCTATCTTTCCCAATTTGAATCGTATCAAATGGTGGAGTAAATCTCGAGTTATGATTTTCGGCGCACTAGGGGGTATGCTGCCACATGCTTAACTCAATCACAATGGTTCTCACAAGTTCCACAAAGTTAGACACAAGAGAGTTAGGGTAGCACTAAACCAGGTAGGAGGGAAGAGGAGGACGAGAGGGAAGGTCCCAAGAGATTCCCCAACCAAGGAAACCCCATGCCACACAATTCCCTTCCCCATAGGCAACCCCACTTTCACATTTGTCACTTTCCCAACTCATGCCATCCACCTCAACCCACTTGGCCACACTTGCCAACCTGGTTTGGCTTCACCCAACCACATGGCAGCATTCTACAGTGATGGGTTCGAATTCCCAACCCCCAAAAGTCTGTACCCCATATTGAGTCAACCCCACAACTTCCCATAGTCGCCACAACCGAAGTACAGAAAGCATACGAACTCCAACGTTCGTAACTTTCTTGATATTGCTTCGATCGCGACGATTCTTGGCTCGTCGGAAAGCTCTTGAGTGGAGCTGTCACTTCAGATATCTGCCCAAGCCAAATATCATCCACACACACTCAGGAAATCCAAACCGCGCAAAACACAAATTCTTGCACACGCTCACACCACGCTTGCAACACACGAACACTTGATGGAGGCAGACAGACGTGAATGCATATGGTTGCATCACAACAAACTCCCCCTCTGGCTGCCAACCATCATCCCACATGCCTCAGCTCATGCATGCATCCTCAATGCACACTCATCCCAGCAAGTTTCATGCCCTTCCAATGCTCAGGTTGTGCCAGGCGCTTGGTGAGAATGTCAGCCGCCTGTTGCTGGGTTTTCACAAGTTCCAGTCGAACCTCCTTATCCAGGAGCCTCCTCGTCCAATGCCACTTAGGCCTGATGTGCTTTGTCAGGCCATGAAGACAG